TGTGATCATTGAAAGCTAATAACTTAAGCTCAACAAGCTCTGATACCAATTGAAATTCCAGCACTCACAAGCAAATAACCACAACAGCTAACAAACAATGGCAAAACAGTTATTGAAGGAAGTGTTGGAGCTTAAGAATACGCAGGATGCTACAACACCTTCTTCAACAGTCGCACACACAAACAGAATAATAAACACATCAAGACACAAAGATTTGTTTACGCAGTTCGGAGCAGTATCTCCTACGTCTGCGAGGCCCACATCCGTGTAATAGCCTTTCCACTAGATCAACGTAAGAATTACACTATCAACCTCAATAGAACCTTCTAATGAATCTGATTTGTCTACTTACGAGATCTGACAGCAAACTCGGTTTGTGTCTTCACCAGGCCTATTACACCTTCTTCTTGCTCTGCACGAAGGATGTGTTTCTGACCCTTGCTCAGCCCACCAGGTTGCAACAGCTGAACAATATCTAGAGGAGATCCATGACTGACCTTCTCATGCACTTTTCTCACAGGTTTTTATTACTGATCGGAATTGTGTTGTTCTCACGCTCTCTCTTTGAATATTCTGAGTATACTTCTGCGCAAGTCTTTCTTCACGGCTGACTCCCTTTTATAGGGTGTTCATAACCCTAGTGGAGATGATACGAAACTCTTTAGGTGATAAGCTTGAACACCAGACACTCCTAGCAAGTCAGGACTTCTTCCGCAGATTTGCATTTGTTTCACGTGTCCAAGAATTAACCAAGTCTTGAAGAAGTTCCTCGTAGCCAATCTTGAAGGATGTGTTTCTCTTGACCCTGGACACTTCACGAGACCTTCTTTATATAGAGTCCATATAGTATAGAAACTCTACACCATGACTGATAGGATGCTACAGCCCTTATATTAACACAGACACACTACCAGTTCTACAGAAGGGTTTTGTCAAAAAATAATGCCAACATAAACTATATATCAATGTTCACTAGTTGGAGCTAACAATCTCCCCCTTTGGCAATTTTTTGACAAAAACCTCTATTCAGCCGTTTTTGAACCTCTTCTCCCCCTTTTTTGCATAAAAAATGCCAAAGATATTTTATTGAAAATCACCAAACTTGGGGTAAAAAAAAGAGTAATATTCAATACGGTCAAGAATAGGTACATTATGAGTATAGAGAAGAACAATCTAAAGAGCTGTACCTACATCAGTCATGCTAGAAAGAGCCAAGTACCCAAGAGAAGGGGTAGGCTCATGTGCTGTCGTTGCTTCACAATGCATGCAGGTAAAATCAGAGCCAAAACAAGTCATAACCAAAGCTTCATAGAGAACATAGAGAAGAACCATCTTGTCACAGAGCACAGATAAGTCTTTAACAAAATCCATGTAATGTCTTCAGCATCATAAAAATAGGGCAGAACAACCCTTCAAAAACAATTGTTTTGGAACAAAAGCATTATCAATAAGGCAATGTTTACTCCTCTGAACTGGCATCTTCTGATGGTTCTTTGGAGGCCCCTGCTGAGTCTGATGAAGAGATCTCTTTTGCACTGTCTTCTTGTGTATCTTCTTCTGTGTCTGAATGGACAGCAGTATTCTTTTGTTTAGCCAGTTTCTCCCCCTTACTCTGTGCATGCCTTGTTTGCCTCAGGGTGTGTGCAATCTGAATGAGCACATTCATTCTTTCAGTGGATCTTTGAGCAATTTCATGATGATAATCTGCATCCATTTGGAGGGATTTGATCTCCTTATCAAGAAAACTGAGCTAGTTGTCTACTGAGGCTGGATTTGGTATTGCTGCAGGGGATGCTCCAGCTGTAACCATGTCATTGAAATGCTTGCCTTCAAAATGTCTGTTATCTGCTTGCAGCAAAGGTGGAACCTGTTCTTCTTCTTCACAGTCTTCTTTAGTGAATCCCTGACTATTCAGGATATTGTAAATTAGCAGGGGATATGGAAGACCATTTTGATTAGTCTTGAATTTTGTAGCTGCAAAGGTCATGACCTGATCAAACACTAATTTACCCAAGTCAAAAGGTATGCAGTGCTTAATCCTGTAGATGAGAGTGGCCATACAGAGAGGCACTGTGTTTGTGTGGGTAGTTGGAAGCCAGTGATAAGAAGCTATTTTGAGAAGAAGAGCATAAGAACTCTTGAGTACTGAGGAAGGAACTTTCAATTTTCCATGTTGTGAGTTTCTCACACCATTTGTAAGATCATGCCAAATGGTGTCTTCATCAATGGGGGAAACCACAGAACAAGAGGTTGTACCCAGAAGTGTGTTGATGACAGTTGGAGAAAAATCAAAGAATTTTCCTCTGACAAAGACTTTGTGAAATGAGGGGTCATCATTGGTCATACAGGCATCAGATAAGTTGCAGAAAAACTCTTGAATCACTTTCTTGACATAAGATCCAGGCAAGGTGACAGATTTGAACAAGTTGTTGGACTCAAGAACAGGTAGGAGGTTGGTTTTCTTTTTAAAATCACTTATATCCAGGTTCCTTTGAGGAATGATAAATTTCTTCGCAATATCAGTGAAATGAGATCTAGCAGAAATTGAGATGAAATTGTGCAAAGATGACTTTCCTGAGAGTGTAGCAGATTCAGCAACCTTTGATGTAGAGGAGCTTCTCGTCTTTCTTGTTCCGCTTGTCTGTGCTTCTCCAGATAGTTTGGCCTTCTTTGCCTTTGTAGTAGACACATTCTTCTGTTCCTTCCTTTCTTCTTCAGACTTGTCATCAGGAGCCGGTGAATCTTTCATTTTCCGCAGTGACCATCGGCTTGGACCAGATAGGTTTTTCTTCCTCTCTTTTCTTCCTTTGCATGTTGAATCTGGATCTTGAAATGGAACATTTGAACATGCAATTATGGGTTCTTCTTCAAGTATTTCACCCACAAACTCAGGCTCAGACACCCCCTTCAGCGATTCTTCATCTTCCATAGACATCCCCCTTTTTGATTCTTGGCTAGGGTTCTGAGAACTCTCGTTGTCTGGTAGGGATGATGGGATGTATTTCAAGAGAGGAACCTCTGTTGACTGAAGAATGGGGTTCTTCAGCACATCCTCTTCAGTAGGGAGTTCATCATGTTCCCTTTCTTCGTTGTTGGGTGTATGAGTGCTTGATGATTTGCTAGGCATGGTGAAGAGCTTTGTCCAGGAGGGCTTCTTGAATATCTTCTTCTTTGGTGGACTTTTTGGTGGACTCTTTCCGGTCCATCTCTGAGGTAGAGCAATCTTCGTTCTCACCATGTGTGTCTGCTTAGGGGATGAAGATGGGTGATTCAATTTTTAATTTCTGGACAATTCCAAGGCGGAATGAAATCTTTTGGAGTTTATTTGATCTGAGACGCAGCCTTTTGAGATCTTGCAGTGCCTCTTCGTTTCTTGAGTTAATTTTAGACGCCTCTCTTGTGCTCCGTGTCCATGCAGTGCATGCCCCCTTTTTGTGCCATATGTCATATTTTCAGCAGATAAGAAAATTGAACACATTAGCTGACAATTTGTGTTCAAAGAAAAATATGTGACATATTAATAAGGTGCACACAGACCCAATTTGGATCTGAGTGTTTCAAACCTGTCTCCATTCAATGCCTTTGTGAAAATATCAGCCAGTTGCGACTAACAATTTTTTCTTCCACTAGTTCTCGTATAAAATGATGCTTAATGTCAATGTGCTTTGTTCAAGAATGTAGCACGGGATTTTTTGACATACTGATTGCACTTGTGTTGTCACAATATAATGGTATTGTCTTCTGTTGGATTCCATAGTCTGATAACACTGATTTCATCCATAACAATTGTGCACAACAACTTCCGGCTGCTATATATTCAGCTTCTGCTGTAGATAATGACACTGAGTTTTGTTTCTTACTTAGCCAAGCAACCAAATTTCCTCCTAGAAAGAAACAACCTCCGATGTACTTTTCTGATCATCTATATTTCCTGCCCAGTCTGCATCACTAAATGCTGCTAATTGTGCTGGACCACCCTTCTCATACCATAATCTCAAGTTTTGTGTGCTTTTGACATATTTTAGTATTCTTTTGACAGCCTTGAGATGTGACTCCTTTGGACTTGCTTGGTATCTGGCACATACTCCCACGCTATAGCAGATGTCTGGTCTACTGGCAGTAAGATATAGCAGGCTTCCAATGATGCTTCTGTAATGAGTCTCGTTTACCGATTTTCCACAATCATCTCTGCTGATCTTTTCATGTGTTGGACAAGGTGTTCTAGCACTTTTACTGTCACTCATATCAAACTTCTTCAGCATGTTCTGCATGTATTTAGCTTGTGAGATAAAAATGCCTTTCTCTGTTTGCTTTACTTGCAGCCCCAAGAAGAAGGTTAGTTCTCCAATCATGCTCATCTCAAACTCCATCTCCATTGTTTTGACAAACTTATCAACATGCTGCTTTGAGGTGGATCCAAAAATGATATCATCAACATATATCTGAGCAATGAGGATGTCTGATCCGTACCTTTTATATAACATAGTGCTGTTTGCTCCACCCCTTTCGTATCCTTCCTTGAGAAGATAAGTGGTCAGCCTCTCATACCATGCACGTGGAGCTTGTTTCAATCCGTAGAGTGCTTTCCTCAGTCTGTAAACATGATCTGGATGTTTTGGATCTTCGAACCCTTTTGGCTGTGTGACATAGACTTCTTCTTTAAGATAACCATTCAAAAATGCAGTCTTCACATCCATCTGATAGAGTTTCATGTCAAGGATGCATGCCATACTGATTAACATGCGGATGGATTCTAGTCTTGCAACTGGAGCAAATGTTTCTTCAAAATCGATTCCCTCAATTTGTGTATAACCCTGAGCTACCAGCCTTGCTTTATTTCTGACTACTTTCCCATCTTCATCTGTTTTGTTTCGAAAAATCCATTTTGTCCCAATAACATTAACACCTTCTGGTTTTGGAACCAGCTCCCATACATTGTTGCGTGTGAACTGCCCCAGCTCTTCTTGCATAGCATCTATCCATGGTTTTTCTTTAAGAGCTTCTTTTATGTTCTTTGGCTCAACTGAAGAGGTGTAGAAAGCATTTATCATTTGGACAAAATCTATCTTCTTTTTCCGAGTCTGAATGCCTTCTCTTGGATTCCCTATGATATTTTCCGGTGGATGATTTTTGTGCACATGTGTGGGTATTCCTGTTGACTCCTCTGGTGTTGCTGCTGACTCCTCTGAAACTGTAGTTTGATCCTCCTCATTGTTTGTTTGTTCTTCAGATTCTGTTCCTTCTTGTTCTGAAGCAGTCTCAGTTTGTGTTTCAGTGATTTCAGTGTCATCATTGCACCTTCTTGGTATTTGATCGTCTACCACCACGTTTATTGATTCAATTATGTTTCTGGTTCTTTTGAGCAATACTCTGTACGCCTTGCTGTTTGGTGAGTAGCCTACGAATATTGCTTCTTCACTCTTGGCCTCGAACTTTCCTTTCTGTTGTCTGTCTCGTAAGACATAACACCTTGCTCCAAAAATGTGGAAGTGTGCAAGGTTTGGAGTTCTTCCTTTCCACAACTCATATGGTGTAGCCTTTGTGCCGCTCCTGATATATACCCTATTGATTGTATAGCAGGCTGTATGTACTGCCTCAGCCCATAGATTCTGAGCTAAGCTTTGGGTGTTTATCATGGTGCGGGCCATCTCTTGTACATGTCTGTTCTTTCTCTCAGCAACTCCATTCTGTTGTGGGGTTTTTGGAGCAGAAAACTCATGCCGAATTCCTTCCTTGTTGCAGTAGTCACTAAAGGGCTGACTTTCAAATTCCCCACCATGGTCACTTCTGACACGAATGACCTTTTTAATCTTGAGCTGTTTCTCATTCTGCACTTTGTTGCATAGTATGACAAAGGCTTCTAGTGCATCATCTTTGTGTTTTAAGAAGCTTACCCAGGAATATCTTGTGTAATCATCCACCACTATGAGCACAAATCTTTTCCCTCTGATGCTTTCTGTTTTCATTGGCCCAAAGAGATCAATATGTATTAACTCCAATGGTCTTTTGGTAGATTGATATACCTTTTTAGGATGGCTTGCTCGTGTTTGTTTCCCTTTCTGACATGGACCACATACTTCACCTTCCAACCTCTTTATTTTGGGCAATCCTCTAACTGCATCAGAGTTTGAGAGGGTTGTGAGATCTTTAAAATTTAGGTGACCAAGTCTGTAGTGCCACAGCCTGGCATCCTGTTGGCTTGCAGGAAAGCACAGAACATTAGGAGTGACTTTGTAGCAGTTGTCAGTTGTTCTGTCACCTTCTAATACCACCAGTTTGTTTTTGTCTTTCACACGACACTTTTGCTGAGTAAATGTGACCTCCAGCCCTTGGTCACATATCTGGCTGATGCTCAGTAGATTTACCTGAAGCCCTTGTACAAGCCATACATTCTTGATTGGTGGAAGTCCTGAAACATTCAGTATTCCACACCCAATGATTTTGCCTTGTGCTCCACCACCAAATCTAACATTTCCTCCCTCAACTGAGTTGATGTTAGCAAGATTCTGTCTGACACCAGTCATATGATGAGAACATCCACTGTCGAGTAACCACTGATCAGGAGTAACTCTGAGACATGAATTTGCTACCATGACCCTTTCCTTTGGAACCCAAATCTGCTTGATCTTCTGAGTTCTTGTTCTTTTGTTTTTGAGCCTCTGGCATGCCCTCTTGATATGCCCCCATCTTCTGCAGTAGTAGCATCTGTAGTTTTGATAAGTCAAAGAGTTTCTTCTATGACGTTTGGTATTGTAGCTCTTGATTGGTTTTACTGCTGAGTGATCGCTGTTTCTCATGTTCTTTGTTATTTTCACACTGTCTTCTTTGAGTGGATCATCTGTTTTGGTGTGACTATCACATCCAATTCCTTGTCTATCTCCTGGTGCTTTAAACATCATTTCCTGTGAATCTAGTACTTCAGCTCCGGCTATCTTCATCCACTTAATGTAGTCCTTGAGTTTTTGCAGTTCAAATTTTAGATCTGCATTGTTTGCTTCTGCTTTCTCTAGATTCTGCTTTAAGACCTTTAGATCACATGCTAGCTGATTCTTTTCTACTATATTTCTTCTGTTAACCATAAGCAGTTCAGTCCACTTTTCTTGAAGATCCATATGTTGTTTAACTAAATCATCTGACTCTGACTGTGAGATAAAAGCACAGTTGCTTTCCTCACCACCCTGATCTTCGTCACTGTCATCATCACTCCAGGTTATTGAAAATGCTTGTCTCTTCTTTTTAAGGTTGTTTGCGCATTCAGTCTGAATATGTCCATGACCACCACATTCAAAACACAGCGGTCCTTTGTACTTGGAGCTGTTATCATAGGGCTTTCCTTCTTTGAAACGTGACTCCCTGAAGGTGGATGTCTTAGAAGGTCCTTCTTGAATTTGACTCTTTCCCTTCTTTTGAATCCACTTCTTTTTGAACTGCTTTGTGAATAGAGACAGATGTTCTTGGAATTCTTCATCAAATGCTAAACCATCTTCACTATCATTCTCCAGATCTGTTCCCAGGAAGGCAATTTGCTTCTCTGGTTTTCGTCTCTTGCTATCCTCCTTCATGTTTAATTCGATGGTTTCAAGATTACCCATTAAGGCATCAAGGGTCATCTTTTTAGCATCATGTGATTGAGAGATTGCTTTGACATCCATATCAAACCTCTCTGGTAGTGATCTCAGCACCTTTAGAACAAGTTTTGATTCTGGAAATGGCTCCTGTAATCTGGCTGCTTGATTTGCAAGGTCGCGAACTCTTCCATGAAACTCTACAATAGTTTCTTTCTCATCCATTCGCAGATTTTCATATTGTGTCATGAGAATCTGATACTTTGCAGTTTTGACCTTTTCATCACCTTCATGTGTGACTTCAAGAATATCCCATGCTTCCTTTGCGCTAATACAGTTTGAGATGAGACGATATTGTGTGGCATCAACTGCACCAAAAATGGCATTTAAGGCTTTGTCATTATTTTCAGCAGCAAGGACTTCAGCTCTGCTATAGTCTTCAAATTTCTTGACAGTTGTTGTAGACAGATCATCCGAATGTTTGACTGGTTCAGTCCAGCCAGTTTCCACAGTTCTCCATACTCCTCCTCCTTGTGATTTCAAGAATGCCCTCATACGCCCTTTCTAGAAGTTGTAGTTGTGACCACGCAGCAGGGGTGGCCTGGAAACACTGGCTCCTTCCTCCATGTCTCCCATAATTTGTGATCATTGAAAGCTAATAACTTAAGCTCAACAAGCTCTGATACCAATTGAAATTCCAGCACTCACAAGCAAATAACCACAACAGCTAACAAACAATGGCAAAACAGTTATTGAAGGAAGTGTTGGAGCTTAAGAATACGCAGGATGCTACAACACCTTCTTCAACAGTCGCACACACAAACAGAATAATAAACACATCAAGACACAAAGATTTGTTTACGCAGTTCGGAGCAGTATCTCCTACGTCTGCGAGGCCCACATCCGTGTAATAGCCTTTCCACTAGATCAACGTAAGAATTACACTATCAACCTCAATAGAACCTTCTAATGAATCTGATTTGTCTACTTACGAGATCTGACAGCAAACTCGGTTTGTGTCTTCACCAGGCCTATTACACCTTCTTCTTGCTCTGCACGAAGGATGTGTTTCTGACCCTTGCTCAGCCCACCAGGTTGCAACAGCTGAACAA